TGATGTTCTCACAGTTGACCTGTACAGTCACTACTGTTGATATTTGTCGCTCTTTTCCAGGTAACTCTTCACATGCGCTTTTTCGTTTTTCCCAACGTGAAGATGGTCCCTACGCACAGTCCATTTAAACTATTTCATGTGTTGTCACCTTGACCACAACGTGTGTGAATGTCACCTGCATGCACGTGCCCGCCGTGGCCTCCCACATCCACACGGTACCGTCCTGGCTCCCCGTCAGCAAAACATTCCCCAACGTGTGCCACCTGCAGAAGCACCGACCGACAAGAAAGTCACACTGATTGATTGCTTCGGAACAGCAGCAGCAGCAGCAGCACGAAAGGAACATGATTGCTTCTTACTCTGTCAGCACGAAGGACGTTCTTCGAAGGACGTTCCTCGAAGGAGTGGCACCCGGGAAAGGGTTGGGTGGCGCAATAGACTCGATTCACTCACCGAGTCAATCCATCGACTCCTCCAACCTTTCTTCGGGCCAACGCTTATAATGTCGAATGAACGTGCCATGGATGGCTTACTCTTTGACGGCGAAAAAACAAACAAAACTGTGGCGAATGGGACTTCCTCTTCGGGCGCCCAGTGTCTTGAGTACAGTAGTAGAGGGGGAGAAACGCCTCATCTCGTCGATCCATCGTCGCGAGGGGTATGAGATAGATGAGGTGCTGCACGTTGTCCACCCGCCCAGGTTTATACTCCTTGAGCCAATCTTAATCTTTCAGCGTCAAATCGGCATAACGCTAGGTAATCTCCCCCACCCGATCCCGCCCCGCAAAGCGCAAAATGTCAGCAAAAAACGGGCATACGCACGCAGTGGCTTCTCCTTCGGGGTGCCGTTACTTGGTCGCAAGTACACCGTATCCCGCGGAGGTGTCTACTAGATTAACGTGGAATGAGACCGTCGATCTCCTGTCCCTGCTGAACCAGGCACCAACCCAAGGTACAGTACAGTCCTGACACGTTAGTTGCCGTTATCCGAAAACCAGGGAAAAGAAAGACAGCCTCGCACCATGCTTTGTTGTCCGAGACGGATCAACATGTCAATCACGAATACGAGTAGTATTCGTTTCCCGAAGATCTGTACGACATGAGAAAAACAGCCTCACGCAGAGTTACAGACGGATCAACATGTCTTGCCTATCTAACGACACGACGACTCACGCCAGGCACTCTATGTCTTCTTGACCCTCGAGGACATGCTTCAAACCACCTGTCGCAGCTTCCCAGACCTTCAGCAGCCCCCCGAAGCATCCCGTGGCGACGAGGCTTCCGTCTACACTGAAACCCACGGTCGAGACCGTATCGGGGTGCCTTTTTTTTTTTTCCCGAGGAACAGCGGCAAAGAGGGAAAAAATAATCGGAACCAGACGATTGAGGCCAAAGAGCAAATGTAAATATCGATGGATGCTCCCACGCTACAAACGGGTTTGGTGCGGAGTTTCCCCTCAGCTTTCAACCTCTCAGCATTCAAGAGGCTTGGTCCAGTCACGGTCAGCGATGATGATGTGGTGCCAACGCTGAGGATGGAGCGAGGCAATACTGCAATATATGCCACACGCAAAAGGGAGAGCGTCCTTCCCGCCTATCCCACGGCAGTACCACATAGTGCATTGGCATTGAAGTGGCATACATTTCCGAGAAGATGTATCCATAGAGCGGTAAATCTTTGCGCTCCCTCCCCGCCCTTCGTATCGTAGTGATTTACTCCACACCACACAATTGATAATCAGTAAAGTCCCGACGACGCCACTGTAGAGTACTTGATGTTTTGTGGCGGCATGCCACAGCACTACTGTACCAACTTCCTGCAACGAAAAACTAGCTCACCGAATGCGAACACACTACTTGTCATGTACGGAACCCCTGAGCGGTGAAGGCAGTAGACCAATTCTGCAACGCAAATCTCAAGACACCCAACACCGATTGGTGGCGATATCCATCCTCCAAATCGGAGCTGGCCAACGCTCAGTCTTCATGCTGCACAGCACGTTGCACGCCCGACCAGTCTGACTTGGATCATTCAAGACGTCTATAAGAACTCCTCACCCGCCGAGTTCGCAAGAGCCGCCAACAACCCCGCCGTCCTTAACAGTCCAAAGGAAGCCCCTGTCATCGCCTCCGCCGGTCACGAACTGCAGTTGCACAGGGTAGGTGCGTCGTCGAAACAAGACTCAGCGCAGGCGGGCGTCTTGACACTTTGTTTACATTCGGGAGAATGGTCCGAAACAATATGCCGTTCATTCGCTGAAGGTCGTTGCTTCTCAACAGAATCACCTACAGCGAAGCAGAACACATGCTCAGACAATACTGCTGGCTACTTTCACCGCAGGACACCTCAGGAACAGCGGCACAACCGGTCACGGCATACAGTTAACGTAAGGGAGGACATTTTTCGAGACGATCGGGAGCAACACATGTCGGCCGAGTTCGGTGAAATCTCCGGACAACAGGACGAGCTTAACTCCGCAGTGCAGCTGTGCACAACCTATCCATGTAGAACAGTTCGCCTTCCCCCCGCTCGATTGAATGTAGTACACACCAGGCGCGAATACCCAACGCGCTCCCTGCGGCTACAGTACTCGCTGCATAGCCCGTTGCGTGTAACCATCTACTATTGGCACCTGGGAAGGGTTTTTCGGATGCACAGCGACACAGTAGACTGCGTCCGAGTGTCCCGTGAAGGTGGCGACTGCCATGTCCTCTACCTCCACCTCTGCCGCAGCCTCTCCCTCTCCGTCTTCCTCTACCCCCGCGCCGCCGCCATCTTCCGCTCCGTCGCCTATCTGCCAGCCGCAGGCCGTGCCAGACACACGGCCGTCGCATCGAAGCGTGATGGCATGCATAGGAGACGGTTGATGATGAGAGGTGTTGGATTACGTCTCACTTGTCACCACCAACTCGTGCACGTGATATTGATATCACGGAATCGTAGGAAACACGCGTTTGATGCTGTAACATTGTAGAATAGTGATGGGCATCGCACACCCTCTAAGCCCGACTAGTCAAGCTCCGTTGGTCCATGACCACGAGATCGTCAAAGCCGGCCCCTGTGCCCACGGAAAGCTCTCGATGATGTGCTATATTCTCAAAACCACCCTTTTCAGGCTGGACATAGTCAATTATTGGGGAGCTGAACTTGAAGGTCGGTCGAGGGGGTGTGCTATGATGACCACGTACTTGCGGCATGTCCAAGACGGGCTTCATCGCTACCGCCCGAACTAACTAACAGCTCTGTGATAATTGATTTGGCATTACAGCTGAAGGGGATGACTGTACCCTCTGCGACAAGAAGTGCGAAATTGATTCTTCTTTCCCGTCGGGCCAAAGCCCCCCAATCAAGGACATCTCCCTGCCAGGCATGCGCGTCGATTGGTGTCGCTCCTGTAGAACCAGAGGAAGCACACGGGGCTACAGAAGCTAGAGGATACCCTGTGCGCGTGCCGTGCCTCACCTCAAACTCCGCTGCGATGTCACCCGACTCAATGAACTCATCGTCGCCGTCGTTGCCACCAGCAGCAACACCAGCAGCCACCTCTTGATCCTCCTGGTCCATATCATCCCCGCCTTGCCCCACACACTTATGAATGTGAAAGGGTGCACACACATATCGATGAATGGAGGCACAGGGAGCGTTTGGAAAATAAAAAAGACGTTCACGAGAAGGACGGCGCGACTAAAGTGTGATGGGTTGGTTGGCGCAGAACAGTGTGTGTGTGTGTTTCACATTTCGTGTCATTATAAGCTACTCATACTTGCAGTCTTGGTCGTGCTCTGGACTCTTTGAAACAACACAACCATGCGAGGCATGCATCTCGCTGCCTTGTCCAGCAGTGCTTGTGGGCATTGATGTAGATTCAGAAAGTTCAAGCAGGGGCAGAATGACCAGCTATCGCAATCAGTTGTACATAAGGCATTGAGGGCGAGGGAAGCACTGGAAGCAGGAGCGTACTGCTGGACCAGGCCGCATGAAGGTGCACAACCCCTGGCGGCTATACCCTGTATCTACCAGGTACTCAGCAGCAACAACAGCGGCGACTCTGTGCCGAAAATGGCGGCAATGGAACCCTCTCACCGAGAGCATTCCGAGAACGCATCATGTCATGTGATCTTGGGCGTAGTCTTCGTCGTGGAGCAATCGATCCTTCAAATCGGTCCAGGGCAAGTGGTATCTCAACTATTGATATTAATAATACAGCAGCATCGTAGATGACACGAGATAACACACCCCCTGGACCGATTTTCAAATCTCGATTTCTCAACAACAGAAGGAGTCACAGCGCTGAAAACGGTGGCGTTGAAGCTGTCTCGTCGAAAGCTTTCCGAAAATGAACTGGTTCATTTAGTCTATACAGCCTCTTCGTCGTGGTGAAATCGAGCTTTGACAATTGGTCCAGGGGGTGTGTTATCATGTATATAGTCTACCGCGGTAGTTGACATGGTTAACAGGGTGCACACGTGCACGCAAGGCCACTCCGCAAGGCACAAGTTATTTTGTAATTTGGGGTCAACGACCACAAGAATTGAAAGTATCAGAATCAAGGAACTCCACCAACAGCCTACACGTGCATGTAGCACGTTTAGAATAGCGGCTGACCCTCAGCTCGCTCACGAAAGGTGACTTGCATGGAGGGATGGAGGCATAGACCAGTGCACCAGCCATCCATGCCATTCTGAAGCAAACGATGGACATCGTTTCCTACTCAACGTACAACGCATGGCACCCACCTTCTCTTCGGCACTTCCACCGTTATCCTCGAACCCCGACATCCTTCCCTTCCCTCTTGGCTGTGCAGTGAGACGAGAGAAGAGGAAGAGAGGGAGAGGTGAGCAGAGGGGTAGCAGCAGCAGCAAGCGGGAGGAGCGGGGCTGGGAGGTAAAGAGCTGTATCATGGGGGGGGTACGCAAACAATATGGTTCCAGAGAGGTTCCGCGGAGCATAAAAGGCGAACCTGGTACTGGAAATCGCCGAGGCTCCGAGGCCCCGAGAGGCCGAGCCAGTGGACCGAGCAGCGAGAGAAGGCGGAGATCGGTAGCATCCGGCATACCCACATCCCTTCAGCTCATAACTCATCACCACCCACACCTCACAACTCATCCGAACAGCAGTGGAACCGGGGTTGGCCCACCACAACGCAACCCAGCAACGACACCACGACTTTCTCAACAGGTGTGTGTGGTGCGCTGTGGTACCGGAAGTGGGTAAGCTTTCGGCAAGCAATTATGTGTTGCTTGGTAGTGTACACGGCAGGTACCCATGTACATCCTCGATTATCATGCCTCGACATACATACATATGTATGCGTAGTAGGAAGACTTTGTTGTTTGTGCCTTCTCGACCCTGGCTTCCACAAGAAGGCCGGCTTGGTTATACTTTACAAGAGGCCCAAGTATGTGCCCCATCTTCTTTCCTACTTGGCAGTTCCTTGGTCGTCAGTCAGATCGCGTCCCATCAGAGACCGGATCATGTATTAATGTCGGCCGAAGAGGCAACGAAAAGGGAGCGATGAATACGAGGGGGTTGGGTGACACAAAACGGTACTCAAGGGAATTGACCCCGGGGCCCGACTCTCATCTGTCAAAACCACCGAGTACGTACCAGTTGTCTCGCGGCTTAAGCAGAGAGTAAGGCGACTGGGCTTCTCGGGTCGGCCGTAACGTCTCTGCCGCCGTCCTCTGGTAGTATCTATTGCTTTGGTTTCCTTCTTCCCCTCGCTGCCTCGGCAAGGTTTTGCGTAGGCATGACCCATAGCGAGGGGGGGGGGGG